TAAAAAAACTGCTTAAGGAACCCGGCCTTCTTGCATATCGTAGACCTAAGAACCTAAAAGAAATCATAGGTAGTAACCACATTTCAGGGGACAAGGTAATCCGTAAGGAACTGAGAACAAAAACAACAGGATTTTCCCAACCATGTAACAACAAAAGAAGTTTATGTTGCAACCATATTAAAAACACAAATTCATTCACTAGCTCAATCACTAAATCTACTTTCAAAATCTACCACGATTCTAACTGTAGAAGTCAAAACATAATTTACCTCCTAGAATGCACACTATGCCAGAAACAATATGTAGGAAAATCTGAATGGCCCTTTAACTACAGAATTAATAATTATCGTAAGCGAATTAAATCGACTCCCCATGAACAATTATTACCTGTAGAACAACATTTCCGCCTAGAAAACACGATTTCAAAACCCATGCCAGATTCACTATAATTGAGAGAATAGAAAAGTTCAGAGCAGATAAGATTAGAAAGATTTTAGAGTCCCATGAAAATAAGTGGATACAACGTCTAAAAACCCAGCCGGGCTAAATCATAAATTTAACAATATATAATAGTAACAATATATAACTTTCAACAAATTAAAACCTACCCCACATTTCTCACCCACACGAATACAGACATGCTTATGGAGGAATCACAATGAGCCAAATGACATCAATACACACTCATACTCACCTAAGAACCAAATAACACACACACAAACACTAAACAGAGACACATCCCCTCATCAGGTCCAATAAAACTGTCAAACTGACCAGAGAATTCAGGATAAAATGTATCTATCCAGTTTTTATCTCAAATAACAACTTAAAAGAGACTGTTTGACCAACACAAGGAATGTTAAAAGATTCATGTGAAAAAGATAAAAAAATAAAAAAACAAATGAAAACTACAGACAAAAGTTCATTTTCTCCAACAAAAGACATTCATTTCTGTAGTTCACTGCTAACAACAAGCAGAAATATTTCTCCTCCCGATGATGGCCATTTCAGTCAAAACTAGTCGAGGAATCTAAATGGAATAATAATAATAAAAAAACGAAAGAATATTAATCTACAACCCAGTGTGTCTAATGATTTTAATTTTTTATTTTCTTATTGTTCAAAATATATATATATATATATATATATATATATATATATAATTGCAAAATCATATCTATTACTCTAAATAATATCCATGCTAAAATATGTCAATAGTATTTATCTGTGCCTATGTTATTGGAGTATTTTGAAATGAATATATTAATAAATTTAACTATGCACCTATTAATCTTTACATGTAGGTATTCATAACAAACTTAAATGCATATATGGAGTGGTGGATATTTATGTATAAATAGTGCAGCCATTTTATTGTATTTACATTTATTTATATATTTATTAATGTCTGGGTACCTTGGCGTGGTGTAATGGTTATCAAGCTTGTCTCACTAAAACAGTTACAACTGAATAGTGAGTTCAGACCTCACTGGGTACCCCATACTTTCGGCCTTGTGCCACATCTAAGTTATGCTTAGAAAATCAATATATTTATTAATGTCTCCATATGTTAATTTCCAAGATTCCTGACTGAATTACACAGTACATTATACTGTCATTTTTATAATGAACTTTATTCTTTCAATGTTCAAAATTGAGTAATAAATTCTTTCATATTAATAAAGAAAACAGAAACAAAGATAAAATAGCTGTTTTGTAGAGACAATCCTAATTTTGATTTCTAAGTCACATTTTTATTTTTTTTTATTTTCTTTGAAATTGGAATTATCGTTTTTGAAGATTGGAAGATTAATTTTGGTTTCAGTAAATTTTCAGCATATTATTTTCAAGATTTTTCTTTTCTTTATTTTCCTTCTAAGTACTTATTTTCTGAGTAAAAAAATATATCCTAATGCAACACTCAACTAGATAAATACAACACAAGGAGACATAGAATATGTGACAGCATATCTGCATCTAATTGTATAACACAGAAATTCAAAACAGATCACAGGATAGCAAGAAAAAATAAAGATTCACTTAATAAAATAAAAAAAGCAAATATTTGGTTCATATTCTATGCAGACTTAGTAAAAACTATTTGGAGGCTATGAAGTCATTGTAAAGGAGCATTAGATTTGTTGACGTAATCCTTCATGCTGAAAAAGTCTGATTAGAATTTCTAAAAATATTAACAAACTAATCAGACTGTTGTCCAAATATGTGATAAAGTAACATTAAAAAAATAATTTCTTTTTATCTTAAGTTCCAAATTGGATAATGATTATTAACTTAACTATACCAGCATCTCCATTAATAACTTATTGGAAGTGTAGACATTTTCTGTAAAATTGACATATTTTAAGCTTGCATTCAATATATATATCAACAGAAGGATCTAGCTGTAGATATTTCTTCTGTGATCTCTAATGCTTCTAGTGTTAGCTTATTGCCTCCAATGCAAAGGTCATGCACAGTGATCTAATGAAACTGATGGAAAAATTAAATGAGATTAGGATCACTCTCCAGCATAATACCTATCCACACTAAAATGTTTTTAAAATGAAAAATAAGAAGACAAACCTCAGAAACACCAACTATATATATGAAATGCAGTTAAATCAATCTGAATGATTTGTTAATGTTACATACATCAAAGTGGTTTTCAGTAGCACAATCACACTTTATAATCTCTTCCCATGAGGTGTTTATTAAAGACACTTCTGAGGAACATTGTAAGAGGGAGTGGAAAAAACTGGTATGACAGTCCGTATTTGAAGAGAGAAATGTATATATCACTTTCTCTGGGAAGAAGTTCAAGTAACAGAGAATCCCGCTGAAGTCTAAGAAAACTGAAAAAATCGGTATACATTAACTGATGAGCTAAATGCATAAGTCAGACCAATTCAAATTTTAACAATGTATGGCTTTTATTAGTGAACAGAAACACACTATGGAATTTTTTTCCTTAGAAAAGATGTAAGAATTTCCCTGCATATCAATTTCAGAATAACCCATATTACAAGCATTGGTATGAATGTATTGAAGTGTCTGTTTGTTACATTTTTGGTTTTGATTACCAGAAAGAGAGAACTCCAGAGAAAGTCATACAATGGATCAGCCAAGATAGAAGAACAGTACAGATAGCACAATGAATGAGATCAATTATACAGGCAACTCTTGGAATAATAATGACTTTTCTCAAAGTTATAAACAATAATCTTTAATATATTTTTAATTAAGTATTTTCATATTGGAAAGGCCAGAAGGTTAATTCTATATTTGTTAGAGAGCATTAGGTGTATTTAGTTTTAATGACTTTCATAAAAAACATTCACTTCTGATTGTACTGTAAATAGACATCATATCAGTTTGCATTTTTAAAATATTTTGTTAAAATTTGTGTATTTTTGTTATTCTCATGTTGGAAATGAAAGAATTCAGTTTTTTTTTATTTTGAAAACATAAAAATAGGTTTCAAATGTAAAAATGACTTATGCAGCTTATGAAGATGTTACTGTTAATGCCTGAATGTGTAAAACAATGATTTGCAAAGTTCTTGCCCATGTCCAAGTAGACTAGTTGATAGTGATCAAATTAAGACATTACATGAGAGTAATCAATGTTATACAATGTGGAGAGGAGTCAACATACTTAAAATATCCAAATCCCATAATAAAAATCATTTGAAGCAGCTAGGATATATTAGTCACTTTGATGTGTGTCTTCCACATAAGTGAAAAAAAGTAATAACTACTAAACCATATTTCCATATGTAAGACATCACTTATGATAGCTATCATAAAAATGTTCTGTTTTGAAAACTAATTGTCACAGATAATGAAAAGTGGATACTTTACAACACCTGGGAATGCATAAGATAAGAGTCAAGCAAAATCAACCACCACTAACCATACCAAAAGTCTACATCCAAAGGTGATACTGTGTATACAGTGGAACTGGAAGAGACTTCTCTCTTATGAAATCTTTTGAAAGAAGCAAACAATTGATTTACATGAATACCATTTCCAATTAGACCAACTTAAAGCAGCAATTGACAAAAATTTTGCAGAATTAATTCAGAGAAACTACAAATAATTCTATCATGCTTACACTAAACAGCATGATTCTTTGGTGACTGCGCAAAAATTGTGACAGCTTGGCTGGGGAGTTTTCACACATATGCCATATTCCTTTGTTATGACATTTTCAGATTATCATTTATTCAGGTATTGACTATTCATTAAAAAATAATTTCACTAAAAGTCTATAAATGTCAAGTAGGGCATTTCTTTGCACAGAAAGGTAAAAACTTCAAGGAGAATGAAATGAAGTTCAATGAAAGAAAAAAGGATAACAAAACAAAATAGTAAATTGTTATTTAATAAAGCTAATATCCCCAAAAATACATTGTCTTCTTGTAACTTAGTATACTAAACGAACTTTTTGACTCATCCAATAAATATCCATACAACACAACTTTTTTATAATCTTGGAGATCAAATAGTTATAAATAAATGAACAGACCTGGCATGCACTCTTGTTTCATGTAAGCTGGAATTCTTTGGGGTATACAATGTTTGATACACAAATAAACTCCTAAATTAATTCCAACACATTCAGTATTCTAAGTATTTCATGTATTAAAATTAAAACCATTCAACATTACCTAAATTATTGATAAGTAAATCCTTTATAAATTCTTGGACTTGCTATAAATTTCATAAAAAGATATTCTGCTTGTCTTTGCATTGCTTTCATGTTCCTGAATCTTATTGACAGAATAAAAAATATAAAAAACCCAATATTTTGTAGATTCTAAATACTGTTTTTGAAAACTTTTATAAATTATGTTTTTTCTTTTACTTGAATTTCTTTTCTGCAGCTTGCTAAAAATTTAATCTTAACATTCTATTTAATCTTTAATAGTTTTGGAATGAGATTTCAGAAGCATATAAATTATTATCATAGGAAAAGTTTAACATGATCTGAAAGCTTACCTTTGAGTCGCTCCAGTAACTGGTCTCGTAATTTCTCAAATGTACTGTAACTGAGTCGGTCAGCAGGTATTGTGTTAAGCCTCTCCCAGGAACCACATGCATAGTCGTAAAAGTTATCACATGGGTCAACATTTTTGTTGATTGCATCCATCAGTCTTGCCGCTAGAAAAAAATTGATATGATCTTCAAATAATGAGTCCAGAAGAAAATTCAAAATATGAACATCGGATAATGAAAGCAATGTACTATTTGCTTTTATGAAAATAACAGTCAATCATCAAATCACTTGTAATGGATGGAAAATGAATGAAATTTAACATTGTATTTTTCTGTAACACTTATTGCAAACTATTATGTTTTAATTGCAAATAGTAAGAGTCTAGTAAGATTGCTAACATGGTTTGTATTCAAGAGAAGGAAACATTTTTTTTAAGGATCAAATGAGAAATATCTGTATAGTTAACTATACAGATATTTCTCATTTGATCCTTAAAAAATTGTTTCCTTCTCTTGGATGCAAACCATGTTAGCAATCTCTTGCATAAAAGAAATACAAGTATTTGATGCCTCATATTAATATTTATCCATTGTAAAAGAAATTGGCTTTGACAGATGTTAAGTTTTAGAGCCTTAAAGTTTTTTCTTCTGGTCTATAAAAAAGTACTTGACACAAAGTTTGATTAGTATGATGGTCTTACAAGTTGTTGGCATTTGTAACAAATTAGATTTAGATTAACAACTATCAATTACCATTTAGAATAATATCTAGTAATTTAATATTCACAAAATCTGTATGTATAAAGACTGACTTTACTACTGAAAAAATAATTTTACAATCTCCCAATAATGTCTCTGAAATAATATTAATAATTTCCTTCCAAATTCTGTATCAGTATGTTAGATACATTTATTTTATAAAATGAATTTCTGTAATATTTCTCACTAGCTACTTTAAAAAACAATTTTTATCATATGCTTTTATGATTTTCTGAAAGAAAGAGATATTCCATTTTTTAAAAATTCAACTTTTCTCTTACATTTTTAAAAACCCTTACTGATTTTTACATCATTACTATTTCTTGAGAAAATTCCAACACTGTGAGTTAATATTTCTCTGTTCAATGAACTGAGAATGAGTTACTCATATATTTGGTTATATTAAATTAAAAAAAATAGCTGACCACTAGTATCTGAGGATGCCCACCTACTAGGACAGCTAGCCAATCCCTGTTACAGACACTTGTTCAGGCACATTTGTGTTTGTTCAAAACCCACAGAGCCCACCTGTGGTTATATGGCAACTATGCTGAGCAGACGTTAATTAGTTTCTGGGAGAGAGCACATTATCTAGTATGATCAACAATCTGAACAAGGCCAACATGCTCAACACCTCAGTGACAATGACTTGTGACTTCATGCTAGCATCGACGACAGCCCAAAGAGTTCTGTCTACCCAATTTCATTCACAAGTCTTGGGTCAACACATGGTATGGTTTTCAGGCACCTCTCCAACAGTGCTGAACACTGGGATTGCCTCCCTCAGACAGATAACATCAAGATATCACCTTCCTGATGCAATCGACCATGGTGAGATTCGAACCTGGATCTTATGGTCAGAAAATGAACCTTCTAACCACTCAGCCACATGTTCACTTACATTACATGATCACATTTTCTGTAGTGCTACAAGTTTAATCTCTTTACTCATATGAACATGATAATACTCACTGAGCCACATATTGATAAATAATCTCCATTTTGAAATCTTTCAACTGAAATTGTTTGACATTTTAATTCTTTAAGATTCACTTTGCAACATGAAACAAATGAACACCTAGAGTATTTAAAACCATTTGATTTTACTATTTCTGTTTTTTATGAAGCAATTTTATTGCCTCCACTACTTAACTTATAAAACAGCACTAAATATTTCCTGCTTTCATATTCTAAAGATGATGTAAATGAACACTGATCTATCTACAAAAGGCATATATTTGTTTCTTAATCATGTAAAGATTACCTGAAAATACATTTTTAAGAGACATTTTTTTTTTTTTTAAATAATCGAATAGTCACAGATAAATTTTAGTGACATATTTTATGAGATGATATCTTAACATAGGCATACCCATCTAAAGTTAATTTTTTCACCACACCTTGAATGAAACATTGTAAACAATGTGCTATAGAAGTATGGATAGCTGTAATTGTTTTTTTTCTAACCATACTGCCTTTTCGCATGAGTGTCTAAAACTACTGATAAAAATACATTTATTTTTTCATTCATGAACTGCCACTTTTTATCCCCAACACTGACATGACAGCATTTCAAACTGAGCTCCTGTCCATCCTCAGGCTTTTTTTTTTTTTTTTTTTTTATCTCAGACTCTTTTTTAAAGACATTCTTTTTATCTAAGACTCACATCCTTGTAAATATTTCTCTTTTATCACTTGATCTAGCATTTTATTTTTGGTATTTATCTCATGCCACCTTTTTCTACTCCTTTCAGCAAAATACAAATCTAGACTGTTTTTTTTTATTAGAAAGCAAACTTGTTTTCTTTTTATTGAAGAAAAGTTATATAAGTATTTTTTTTAAAGGATGTTCACTTTCTTAAGTGAAGTTGTCACTCTCAAGTGGTCTTTTTAATGTGATGACATCTGATGATCTTTTTAAACAGAGGAATTTTATACTTTGATCTTTTTCTTATTTTATAAATAGAACTGTCAAGAATATTAAAACTCTTAGATCCACACAGAAGACAAATCAGGTAAGATTTGCATTTTTTCCAAGATTTAAATACTGATGCAAGCATTTACTATGCTATAGGCTATCTATATATTCTCTACAATAAAATTGATAATAGAGAAATTAAAATAAGGTTTTTTGGTATTTGCCATGAGTAATACTATCAGCATAACCATTTTTCTTTTGACATTTATTAGTATAACTTTAAAAAAACATTGAGCAAAGACACAATAAGAAATAAATTTGTTGTTAATAATTCACAATATTAACTTGCAAAACATTGCTTTACTATAAATTTACTGACAATATTCCAATCCATTCTCTGCTTTCTAATCACCTCACATAATCATCTAATCATATGAGGCTAATTAAATCTTGTCAAAGCTTGACTCTGCTTTCTCTCAGATTCAATGTTAGAATTTAATTTTCTTTATCTTAAGAATATCAGATGTACTGAAATTGTCAGTTAATAATTAATAAAGACTAGGAAAAGTATTGACTTCATTAATAAAAAGCTAAATTTTCAATAATTTTTTGTAGTGAATTTGATAATTATTAAAAATTTCTTATGAAGAATGATTAAAATTTTGATGTAGAAAACCTAAAAATTTATCAGTAAATATCATTAAAAGTTCTAAATGACAGATTCAAAATCTCACTAGTGAAGCCCAGCTTACTCTATACATTCTTTAAATGACCCAATTTAACCTTCTTCAAATTCATTTTCTTTTTCATGATTAACTAATCCTTAAACTTTTTGGTGCATATAATGGTCATAATGATCATGAACAAGCAGTTTCTTTTGATTTTCAAATTTTCTGTTTCATTCCTTTTACTTTCTAAAATGAAAATAAGTTTGGTATTTGAAAAATTGGCAATACTGAAAATATCCAAGTGATGCAAAAATAACAACAGCTTAATTCATTATGATATATTTAACAAGTGTGTATAAATATTCCTGTAACTCTAGATACATACATAAAACAATCCATATATTGAGTTAAAACTAAAATAAAATTCATCCTTGATAATTGGATATGTAAAACATTCGGATAATTTTTATGTAATTTATATCCTGAAAAGAAAAAATTATAAGAACACATAAAAAATTCTATAAAAACTTAACCACAGCACCTTGTCTGTTGTTTTTGTTGTTTTTAATGAAATTTATATATATATATATATATATATATATATATATATATATATATATATATACACTTTCAATTATAACTGATAAAACTTTATGTTCATGCGACAAAATGTTTAAGCAATGTATCTATTTTGCTGTGTTTATCTGCTGGCATGAAGTGAGACATAGTTTTTATGCAATTAAAAAGCAATATAGATAAAGGTACACATGATTATTTGCTTACATTTACTCAAATGCCAAACCAAAAAGTTATTCTATTTTTAAATCCCTGAATAACCCTTACAAACCATTATAGAAAATCAGTTTGTGCAAATGAGTTTTCAAAGGGATTTTTGTATGCATCAACTGAAAGTAATTTTCAATTTTCCTTGAACTCTCAGATTAAATCTGGGCGGCTAATTTTATCTTCTTTCTTTTCAAAAGCTTTCAACCTGAATAAACTTCCAAATGCATTTCAAAGTTTATGCAAGTAATGTAATAAAAACAGAAAACAATTATAAAAAACCAAAGATGGCAACCAGGAAAAACAGTTTGTTTGAAATTATAATGTGCTGTGCAAGAATTTTATCTGTGATATATAGGTAATAAATGATGAACTGAATTATGATAATGAAACAATACAGAGTATCTAAAAATTTAATTGCATTTTTTGATTTGCTGATAAACATCAAAAAATAATGAAATGGAAAAAATAAAGAACATAATTTAAGTTGTATATATATATTCTTTCTCTCATATAGGAATAAACACATTTCAATGTGATCTTCAGACTAAGTATGAAGATTGCAGGAAGCATGAAACATGAATTGTTGATTCTTATGTCCATACTGTCTGTACATATCAATGCTCTATCTTTGTTATTATGCACTCTTCCTTTCTAAGTATAGCACATTTTAACTACACACACACACACACACACATATATATATATACACTGATGAACCAAAATCATTGGAATGGGTACCTTATATCATGTAGGATCTTTCTAACCCAGTGAATTGCAATAACTATTTAGCATTGATCTCACTAGTGATTTGAAGATGCTAGAGAATTGTTGAGCCATGTCATCTTGAACACTATCAATAGTTCACTGATATTTCTATCTGTGGGATCTTGCATGTGAACAGAACTCTCCATCTTGTCCTGTGATGCTCTGAAATGAGCAAAATGTCAGACAAATATGATGGTCACCACAATTCCCCTCAAATCAATTCTGTGTAACTTGGGTCAAATGAAAGGTTATTTTGCT